ATGGAACACAACAGAGTATCCAGAGATAAACCCATACACATATACTCAATTGACTTTCATCTAAGGTATCAAGTCAATTCAATGGGAAAAGGAAGTCTTTTAAACAAATGGTGCTAGAACAACTAGATAAACTACTATGTGTTTTCCCACGACTCTGACATTAACAACCTGGATACAGCATTAGATCCCACAGGTTAATTAAGGGCTCAGTCCCACTAGACCACTCCCACTTCAGATACCAATCACAAGTTCAAGTTGTTACCTGTACATCTGGACTGACCAGCTATAAATCAGAGGTTTCCATGACCCCTTCCTTCAGGTTTGATTAATTTGCTAGAGTGGCTCACAGAACTCAGACAAACATTTACTTATGTTTACTAGTTTATCATAAAGGGTGTTAGAAAGGATACAGATAAATAGCCAGATGAAGAGATACAAAGGGAAAGGTCCAAAAAGGCCCTTAGCATAGGAGTTTCTGTCCCTACGAAACTAGGTTTCCACAACCCACCAGGATGTGGATACACTCACCAACCCAGAAGCTCATCAAGAGTTTTCACAGAGCTTAATCTGCACCCCACCCTCCTTCCCCTTCCCAGAGGTCAGTGGGTGGGGCTGAAAGTCCTAACCCTCTAAATAATTGGTCTTTCTGGTGATCAGCCCCATCCTGAGACTATCCAGAGACCCTACCCTAAGTCACCTTACTAACATGAACTCAGGTGTGCTCAAAAAGGGGCTCCTCATGGGTTACAAAAGATACTCCTATCATCAGAAAATTCCAAGGGTCTTAGGAGCTTTGTGCCAGGACCCAGGGACAAAGAACAAATATATTTGCTATTATACCACAACTATGAAAAAATATAAACCCTTATCTCATTTCCCACACAAAATTTAAATCATGATGTGCAAGCCAAAGCTATAAACCTTTGAGAAAAAATATATAAGCATATCTTTATAACCTTGGGGTAGATAGGCAAAGATTTCTTAGGACACAAAAAGCGTTCAGCATTAAAAAAAAATTTTTTTTTGATAAATTGGGATTTCATGAAAATTTAAAACATCAATCAAAAGGCAAGCCACAGACTGGGAGAAATATTCCCAATACCTATATCTGACAATGGACTCACAGCCAGAATATATTAAAACTCCTGCAACTCAATTACAAGAAGAAAACTGAGCCAATAAAAAAAATGAGTAAAAGACTTGAACAGACACTTCATAAAGGAAGATACAATGATATCTAATATGCACATGAAAAGGGGCTAAACATCATTAATCATCAGGGAAGCATGAACTAAAACAGTAAGAAGATACCATTTTATACCCACTAGTGAAGAGACTGGCAACACCAAATACTGACAAGATGTGAAGCAACCGAAACTCTTAGGAAACTTGTACAAGTATTTATAGAAGCATTATTCATAAAAGCCAAAAACTGGTGTCTACCCAAATGTCCATCAACAGAAGAACAAACAGTATTTGATTATATTCATGTGATGGAATACTATTCAGCAATAAAAAGGACTCAGCTACTGATATAGGCAACAACAGGATGAGTTCAAAAGCATTAGGCTAAGAGAAAGAAACCAGATAGAAAAGAAACCCTACAGTCTGTAGGGTTCCATTTATATGAAGTATAAGAACAAAACAGAACTCATTTATGACACTAAAAATCACAACTGTGATGGCCTAAGAGTGGGGGAGTGAATAGAAGGAAGCCCAGGGAAATGTTGTAGGGGAATGGAAATGTTCACTATCTTGACTGAGGTATGATTATACAGGTATATATATTTATCAAAAATTACTGAACCATACATGTAAGATCTCTGCATCCCATAGTAAGTATAACTTTAACTCAATAAAATACCATAAGAGGAGCGCCTGGGTGGCTCAGTCGTTATGCGTCTGCCTTCGGCTCAGGTCATGATCCCAAGGTCCTGGGACAGAGCCCTGCATCAGGTTCCCTGCTCCACGGGAAGCCTGCTTCTCCCTCTCCCACTCCCCCAGTTTGTGTTGCCTCTCTTGCTGTCTCTCTCTGTCACATAAATAAATAAAATCTTAAAAATAAAAAATAAAATAAAATAAAATATAAGAGGGTGCCTGGTGGCTCAGTCGTTAGGCGTCTGCCTTTGGCTCAGGTCATGATCCCAGCATCCTGGGATCGAGCCCCACATAGGGCTCGCTGCTTGTGGAGGACCTGCTACTCCCTCTCCTACTCCTCCTGCTTGTGCTCCCGCTGCTCTCACTGTCTCTCTCTCTGTCAAATAAATAAAATCTTAAAAATATATATATATCATAAGAGACAGGGGGGAAAAGAACTTTAAACCAGACTTTCAGTTCAGATGGCAGACTGACCACAAGTATTTATCTTCTCCCCCCAAAAAGAGCAACTAGGAAGAGACATGAAAGAAACTTCTGGAACATTAGTATTCTATAGGAAGAGACATGAAAGAAACTTCTGGAACACTAGCATTCTATTTATCATGTCCTAAAAAATTATATAGGTATTTTCACTTTGGGATTATCCAACTATCTGTACACTTATGATTTGTACACTGTACAGTCATATATATATACACATATATATATGCATATATATAATTGAATTTTTTTCATCAGCCAATGAATCAGATAGCCTCCACAATCCACTGCTGTACAGAGCATCTATCCAGCTACTAAATTTTCACAAAGGGTGTTAAACTTAACAAAAACTGGTCTGCTTTCTAAAGCAATAGCCATTGACATGATCAGTACAGGTCACAGCGTAGTCCAAAAATATCAGCTTTTCAGCTCCAATTAAAATGCACAAATGATAATGGTAACTTTTCAAAAGACTGTAAGGTAAATATGTAGTCTAATGTCCTAATATCTTAGAGGTCTTAGAGGATACCTAGAGTATCCCAATAAGTTATGGAGCCATTTTCTCACCCCATCTTTCATCCTGATATTTTATAGCATGTTTGCTAAAAATGTACTGTCAGCACTTAACAAAGTAAACTGACTTTTATATGATTTGTGTGTCAGAGAGCCAAATCTCCAAATCTCCACTAGTTCCTCAGCCAGACTATCAAATTCCATAAATATTTTTTAAACTTAGCATCTGATGAATGCTGAGAAGAACATGAATAATGTCAGATGACTGAAGTGATGAGAGTGTAGCTGAATTGAGAAATCAAAAATGTGTAATGCCAGCAATTAACACAAGTATTCTATATTCTCTGACAGTATTCAGCAGTAGATAAAAGAGGCAGGGTTATGGTGGGATATTGACTGAGAATATGGAATGGGATCCTGCCCCTCTCTCTTCCCCAATTCCTCACAGAATGAAAAAACAATGTATTCTGGTTCCTTCAGACTTGATCTTTCACCTCTGGTCTCACAAAGTTTTCTTCATTTACAAAAGCAGCTACTAAATCTAAGTTTGAATTTCAGGTACAATTTTTTGCAGCCTAATTAATTTGCATTGTCAGGTTTACTCTCACTTCTCCCATGGGACATTCCCTTTGCCCCTCTCCTGAGGGTATATGCACACTGGGTCTCTTCTCTTCCACATTCAGGGGTTCCTTTGCAGAGATGTTTTCAACAGCTGTTGCAATCTGAGGCTTAAATGGAACTTAATACTCAAAAAGGACACTTAAAGGCAGGATCCTGCATCCCTCAGAGGGGAGCACCAACACTTAGCTAAATCTCTGTGTCTCTTATCACTGACTTGGGTTTCTAAGTCTCTGATCACTGTGGAAAGCAGAAGTATTTCCATCTTCTTGTGGCCATCCATAAGGCTTAGGAGAAAATCTGAATCAGTTCCTGTTGAGAATTACAACACTAACAGAGGAGGGGGAAAATGAGTACTTAAAATACTCTGATGACAAAATCAGAATTCTCCTTTTGGTGTTTCTAAATTTCTATTGACTCTAACTTTAAATACAAACAGAATAAAGACTGTTTTAGAATTTCCTTTAAAAAAAAAAAAGGCTGGGTTAATCCATACAAATAAAGAATAAAGATCAAAGTCACAAAGGAATTGGTAAAGAAGGGGTATTGTTGGGAGTATAACTGAAATAGCTAACTATGAGATCTGAGTATAAAAGGGGAGGAAATGCAGCTGAGAGGCTTGAATGCACTAGGAAAGTAGGTGGATTCTGGGACCAGAGATCAAAGAGCACATTTATTAGAACTCAAGCAGAAGGAAGACAAGATGTGACAATGAAAAAAAGAAGAGTTTCAGAGTTCAAGACATATTTCATCTACCAACTCTTGCAAATAGAAATGAATATAGAAATATCTATGATTAGAATTATCAACCTGTGGCATGATGCCTGACCCAAAGTGAAATCTGAATACATAAGGGGTAATTGCTGTAAATGGTGGAGAAAATCCAAATTATTTATGGTATTTACCTAGGACATAATTAACTGTAAATTCACAGCTCCTAGAAAAAAATTAAAATTATTTCTATAAATAACATATAGCTCATCTGATATTTTTAGATTATCCAATCAACTGTCCTCATCCTCAAGGATAAATTTAAGTTGATTGGACAGATATTACATACATAAATATAGAGCCAGATGTACTCAAAATAAAATAAAATTTCATTTTGTTCTAGAGCAATTTTAAAATGAGCATGATTTATGTAATTTTTTTATATATCCAAGAACTTCTACACTGCCCTTACAATTCAATATTGGCCATAATGAGATTAACCATAAATTTAAAGAAGGCAGATTACTTATAAAATAGATTTCTTCATCTCAACAAAGCAAAAGAACAATATAAAATAAGACATTAGGATTTTTAGTACTCATAAGCAATGGGGAAGATTAAATCACAGACCAGTGAAATTGGTCTTGGCACCACAGAACTCATTATATATTCAGTCTATCAGCTGGATTCATTTACAAAACATCTCAAACCTGACTGCAAATTTTAACAACTCTCCAATCAGCAAATGCATTAACCACAGTGTGCCAATAATAAAATGATACTCAATGCAATTTTCTTACCTGTCTCAACAGTTTTTCAATAGCTGACATTACCATAAGGCCTCTCCAAACAACTGGTGCAGTCTCTTCAACCAGGAAGCCCATAGACATACTGCAACAGTAAACCAAAAATAAAACTAATTTACATACATTAATCAATATTATTCTGAAAAGTCACATAAAGTAAAAAAGATATACTTACCAAGCAATACCATAATTCAAAAGAGGCCTCATTAGGTTGCCTAAAATTTAAAAAACAACAACAACAAAAAAACTCTTTTAGAATATATAAACACACATATTTTCTTATCAAAAAGTGTCAAATTAACCAAAAAAAAGTGTCAAATTAAAAATACAAATGGCTGGGGCCCCTGGGTGGCTCAGTTGTTAAGCATCTGCCTTCGGCTCAGGTCATGATCCTGCGGTCCTGGGATCGAGTCCCACATTGGGCTCCCTGCTCTGCGGGAAGGCTGCTTCTCCCTCTCCCTACTTCCCCTGCCTGTATTCCCTCTCTTGCTGTGTCTCTCTCTGTCAAATAAATAAATAAAATCTTAAAAAAAAAAAAAGAAACACAAATGGCTACTCATACTGCTGCTCTTTACCTTTCAACTGATTTAGCTCAATCTGCAACAGTTTAAACATTATACCAAGCATACAACCAATACGTCCCATAGGCGCACATCTATTAATAGCTGGAATATAGTTTTATTAAGAAACAATCCATCTAGGGGTATCTGGGTGGCTCAGTTGGTTAACCATCTGCCTTTGACTGAGGTCATGATCCCAGGGTCCTGGGATCAAACCCCGTGTCAGACTCCCTGTTAAGCAGGAAGCCTGCTTCTCCCTCTCCCTCTGCTGCTCCCCCCCACTGCTCATGCTCCTCTTGCTATCTCCCTCTCTCTCAAATAAAATCTTAAAAAAAAAGCAACAATCCATCTATAATTTTCAAGTCTCTCTAAAAAATAGCCTCATTAAGTAAATTTATCCACCCATTTTATTGATACATAGATATATAAATTACATACTTAGGTTTATCTAGTATGCATATACATGACAAGTACACATACTTGCACACATGCATCTAGTAAGTTCTCTGTATTTCTTTTTTCCTTACTTGAAGAATTTGTAAAGTATAAAAAACCCAAGAGTAGAAAAACTCGATTTTGTATCTCAACATAATAAAAGCAATATATGAAAAACCCACAGCAAACATCATACTCAATGGTAAAAGACTGAATGTTTTTCCTCTAAGATCAGGAACAAGACAAGGATGCCCACTTCTTTTACTCAGCACAATACCAAAAGAGCCAAAGCAATTAGACAAGAAAAATAAATGAACAGCATCAAAATTGGAAGGGAAGAAGTCAAGTTTTCTCTTTTCACAGATGATATGATCTTATGACAACCTTAAGATTCCACAAAAAACTATTAGAGCTAATAAATGAACTCAGCAAAGTAGCAGGATACAAAGTCAACACATAAAAATCCATTGCATCTCTATACACAAACAATAATCTGAGAAGAAGATTACGAAAACATTCCCACTTATAACAGCATCAAAAAGATTTAAATACTTAGGAATTAACATCACCAATGAGGTGAAGGACTTGTACAATGAAAACCTCCAAACATTGCTGTAAAAATCAAAGACGACATAATAAAAGGAAACACATATGTTCATTGACTGGAAGACTTAATATTGTCAATACTGCCCAAAGCAATCTACTGATGCAATGCAACCTTATCAAAATTCCAGTGACATTTTTTGCAGAAATAAAAAAATCCATCCTAAAATTCATATGGAATCTGAAGGAATCCCAAATAGGCAAATCAATCTAGAAAAGAAGAATAAAGCTGGAGGATTCACACCTCCTGATTTCAAAATTTATTACAAAGCTACAGTAAGCAAATCAGTGAGATACTGGCATGAAGACAGTTAAAAAGACCAATGGAATAGAATAGAGAGCCTAGAAATAAAACCATCACATATCCAGTCAAATGGTTTTTGATGGGAAGCCAAGATCATTCGATGGGGAAAAGACAGTCTTTTCAACAACTGGTGCTGAGAAAACTGGATATCCACATGCAAAAGAATGAACTTAGACCCTTTACATATATAAAAATTAAGTCAAAATGGATCAAAGACCTAAATGTAAGAGCTAAAACTACAAGATTCTTAGAAGAAAACATAGAGCAAAAGCCTCATGCCATTGGATTTAGCAATGATTTCTTGGGTATGATAGCAAAAGCAAAGGCAACAAAAGTAATAGACAAATTGGACTTAATGTGAAAAAAAAATTTTTTTAATTTTTTAATTTATTTATTTGTCAGAATGAGAGAGAGAGAAAGCACAAGCAGGGGGAGTGGCAAGCAGAGGGAAAAGCAGACTACCTGGTGAGCAAGGAGCCCGATGCGGGACTCGATCCCAGGGCTCTGGAATCATGATTCCTGGGATTATGACCCGAGCTGAAGGCAGACGCTTAACCAAGTCACCAAGGCGTCCCTGGACTTAATGAAAAATTTTAAATGTTGTGCATCAAAGACAATATCAATAAGTAAAAAAGCAAGCCACAAAATGAGAGAAAACATCTGTAAATCATATATAAGGAATTCATATCCAAAACATAATTAAATCTTAAAATTCAACAACAACAGTAAGCAGGTCTTCACCAGATACCAGAGCTGCTAGCACCTTGATCTTGAACTTTCCAGCCTCCAAAAATGTGAGAAATAAATGTTTGTGGTTTAAGCCACCCAGCCTAGGGTAAATTTGGTATAGCAGCCTGAACAAACTAAGACACTGGGACAGTCCAAAGCCTTTTCACAAAATTGGAAACCAAAATCTCTAATACCATATATGAATAATCTTTAATCTACTTTATCAGTATGCTAAATCCCAATCCAGGGAAAATGTGTACTTTAAATACCTCTTGCAGTTTAGTGAATAATAAGTTGTAAACTGAAGCCAGAAATGTGAGGAGATTCATCATGTTAAATGCATTTCTTCAGAATTCAACAGGGAAAAATGTACACTGAGAGGCCTAAACATGTACAGCATATACATCAAAAAGAACGTTAGAGGCACATTCTTCTTTATCTTTTCCAGGATATTAGTAAACAAAATTAATAATGTCTAAAAGCATTTTACCTTAAATAGTAAAATTATCAGAACTGAATGATGGCACAGACTGAACCATACTTTTAAATTAGTAGAGAAAAACTCTGAACAACAACTCATGATTACAGGTACAAAGTAGTTTATTTGCCCTAAAATTTTATTTTTAAAAAATGTGTACAGCAATTTCTACACATAAACTTAATAGAAAAACTAACAAAGTACTAGTGGTTGAAAGTTTACATTGAAACTTTGGAATCCACTGTCCTGTAACAGCTTTTTGAAGAGACCACCATTAGCTGAAGTTATCATGATACAGATCATTATTTCCTACTTCCTCCTATCTTCTTGATAGCTCATACACTGAAGCACAAAAGATTCTTACTCCAAGTCAAACCATTTCAATTGCCATAATGCCATTCACAGAATGAATGACACTATGTCTCATCCTCCTTACTCTATTACACCAAAGTTCTATCATTGCTAACAGGTGTGAATTTAATTAATGGACTGTATGTCACCAGTGGATTTCAAACAGATTTAGGGACTACTTTTATATCATAAATTAATTGTCAAGCTAGAAAAGACATTGTGATCATGTCAAACTGAAGAGCTAGGCAAAAAGGAAACAGGCGTAAGAAAGGCTGCTTTAAATTTTCCTATTAAAGTTCCAATTGTTAAATGTTCCAAGGATAACTCTCATCTAGAATCAGATTTTTTGTAGGAATCCCACTGTTCATGAATCACCTAAATAGTAGACATTCCCACTTAACTTGGTATTAGCAATAAGCCTGAAAAATCTCTGTACTTTCTACTCTGTTCCCTGGTTCCAAAAATAAGAGTTTTAAATACAGCTGAACACCAAGGTTCAGGAATATATGTCTAAAAAGATTATAAGTTGAAATCACACAATAGAAGCATTAAATCCTTTTTTAAATGAGGACAGAGAATATGTACCCTCATTTCATGAATTTTAAAGAATACTTAAACATAAAGTAGATAAAGAAAATAGTCTTATAAAAACAATCTTTTATCCACATATTCATGACAAGACATTCAAAGGTACAAAAACCTTCAGAAAGTAGGAAATGACACCCAGTACAAAGTTTACAATTTCACTTTCTCACCATCTACTTTCCTATTCCTTCTTTTCTTTCTAAAACCAAGATCCTTTCTCATGAGAAATCAGATTCAAGAAAGAAGTTGCATCCTATTCTTTCAGGAGAACTTCAAGTGGCTGGGTTTGACAGAGTAGTTCCACCAAGTTAGTAACCAGAGAAGGTTTAGAATACCCTAACTTTTTACTGGAAGAAAAGGATTTAGAGAGTAGATGGAATGGATCAAAACTCAAATGCCAACCTGGACAACCTAAAGGCAGTATAATAATACTGCATCCAGAAGTAGAAAGGAAGGGGATCTAGAACATTAGAGAAGAGAGTAGAAAGACTATAAAGAAAATTCTTCAGTGTTTTTCCAATTTTACACCTATCACTTTTAATATTAAAATTTCTTTTATCGGGACACCTGGGTGGCTCAGTCAGTTAAACAAGCAGCTCTTGGTTTCGGCTCAGGTCATGATATCAGGATCCTGGGATTGAGCCCTGTGTTGGGCTACATGCTCAGTGGGGAGTCTGCTTGAAGATTCTCTCCCTCTTCCTCTGCCCCTCCCCCATTCTCTCTAAAATAAATTAATATTTTTAAAATTTTTCATTATGGATAAAGAAAATGTGGTGTATATATATACATATACAATGGAATACTACTACTCAGCCATCAAAAAAATGAAATCTTGCCATTTGCAACAACGTAGATGGAACTAGAGGGTACTATGCTAAGCGAAATAAGTCAATCAGAGAAAGACAATTATCATACCATCTCATTGATATGTGGAATTTAAGAAACAAAAAAAGAGGATCATAGGGGAAGAGAGGAAAAAATAAAACAAGATGAAATCAGAGGAGACAAACCGTAAGAGACTCTTAATCATAGGAAACAAACTGAGGGTTGCTGGAGGGGAGAGGGGTGGGGGGATGGGGTAACTGGGTGATGGACATTAAGGAGGGCACATGATGTAATGAGCACTGGGTATTATATAAGACTGATGAGGGACGACTGAGTTGCTCAGTC